GTTTGGTACAGGGTCTCACCACACAGCTCAGGCTCATAATGATCCTCCTGTTTTTAGCCTCCCCAGTGCTGGGACCACCATGCCTGGATTTGAACCCTGGTCCCTGTGCTTGCCAGAGCAGGTGCTTAATTTGCTGAGCTATCTCGCCAATCCCATCCCATATAACTTTTAAGTATTTCTAGGTTACTTACCATACTTAACACAATGTGAATGTTTGCATATAGTTGCTGTATTGCATTATTTAAAGAATAATGACCAACAAGGTTTATATATTGAGTACAGATGGAGTTTTTTTCTTAATACTTCTGATCCAAAAGAGAAGGAAGGTTGATTAAATCTGTGGGTGTGGAACCCTTGGGGCCAGAGGGCTGACTGCATGTGTAAACACAAGGGGACTGCACCTGCATCCACATTGTTACAGTTTGAGTATAAAGTGTCCCCAGCTGCTGGCAGCTGTTTTGGGAAGTGACTGGTGCAGGAGGGCTCTGATTAAGGCTGATGAACCCTTTGGTAGAGCCTTCGTTGAATGGGCTCAGTGAGAGACGAGTGGGCTGGTTGGAAGAGGCAGGGCCCTGGGGCTGTGGCTTCAGGGCAGTACCTTGTCCTGCCCCGCCCTCTCCAGGTCTCTGCTTCTGGCTCTTGCAAGGTGAGTGCTTTCTTCCTTCCCCACCTTCTTTCTGCTTGAAGCTTCTGCCTCTGCACAGGTCTGAGAGTGAGGAAGCCAGCTGACCTTGAGCAAAACCTCTGACAGCAGGAGTCAAAGTAAATCTTTGTTCCTGTGATCTGACTTTCCTCAGTGTCCCTGGTATTTTGATGTGACACAAGCTGACACACAAGCTCCTCTATACACATAAGCAGTATGGCGTGTTACATTCAAAATTATGGATGCTTTGAAAGAGACTTCTTTTGGTCTTAGTATTAGTTTGGCCCTGGACCCTCCCACCCAACACAAAGCAGCCAATCTTAACAGCTGGATGGGAGACATCATACCTTCTTCTCTCGTCCTGATCCTGTAATTGTTTAATGCCTCACCCAGGTACTGGGGACATAGCTCAGGGAGTGCTTTATCCCTGGCACCAGATAAAGAGTCAACAAAATAATACCTTGCCTTTAACTTACACACAAACAGGATTATATTTATTTTTTTCTGAAAATTAGGACACTACAAATAAGTAGATCTGTTTCTTGCTTTTTAAAAAAAGTTTATTTTATTTATTGTGTGTGTGTGTGTCTCCAGCTCTGCCCACCTGGGGGCGGGGCTGGCTGGCACGTGGTGCTGGAGGATTGAGCCGCGGTCCCTGTGCTTTGCTAAGCTTGTTCTAAGTAGGTGCTTTAGACCACTGAGCCATCTCACCAGCCCCTGTTTCTTGGTTTTTTACTTTTCAAAATGCTGTGAAATCCTTGAAGCCAACCAGGAAAGACCTGACACAGTGTTGTAGCTAGCTACATATGCAAGTTAGTAGTAGAGTGTCCTGGCCCCCCGGGAGCCCGAAGGCCTGGCCCCCAGGAGCCTGAAGCCGAGAGTGACCCCCTGCTGGAGTTACAGGAGCTGCTAAATCCCATCCTTGGCTACTTCTCTCAAAAGCCAGGAAATGTTCTCTGTGGTCAGTATGCTGGGATTTTAATTGAACACTTGATTTTAATTTGTCTTCAGCCGAGGAAAGCTTGAATCTTGGCGTTTACACCTCTCAGAATTCATCAGGTGGGCTGCTGAGAGGGACACACAGCTGTTCCCGGCAGAAAGGTGGGGAGGGCATTGTGTCCTTGATGTTATTTTACTTTCTTTGGTACATGTGGGGCATTGTGCCAACTTCTTATCTTTTCTACTACAGTTCTGTAGTTTCCAAAGTGATTTATTTGACTTTGTTCTACAGAGAACCCTCATGTTTCTACTTTCAGGGGTAAAGGACAGGTAACTTTTGGTGCTTGCCTGGGTGGTGGGCTCTGAGCCTGGTCCGTGCCCCGTCCAGGCCCAGCTCATTGCCATTGCTCTGTCACACGTGTGGGGCAGGGAGAGCCGAAGTCAGGAGCAGACACTCCTGACCGGCAGTGGGTGGCAGTCCTTCAGCCCAGCTCCCTCCTGGATGATTTTGTGTTTCTTGAACGCTTTGTACATCTGTTTCCCCCATATATACAAGAGATACGGCAGATGCCTCCCCGGACTGCTTGCTTGTGGTGGGCTCTGGTTCTCTGTGGCTCGAGGCTGTCTGGGGAGACCCGGGGTCTTCCCCGGCAGTCCTGCAGCTTCCTGAGTGGGCGGCCTACTGCCAATACATGTTCTCTGAGTGAAGCTGGCTGCTCACATACTAAGGGGCATTCATGGTTCTGTCATTTTGTTCCAATGCATTATCTATTTTTATCTTAATAACTCTATTGTGGCATAATTGACCTACTACAATTCACTCATTTATTTTTATTTTTATTTTTTAAATATTTATTTATTTATTTGTGTGTGTGGCCAGCTCAGCCCACCAGGGGGCGGGGCTGACTGGCATGTGGTGCTGGGGGATTGAACTGCGGTCCCTTGTGCTTTGCTGAGCTTGTTCGAAGTAGGTGCTTTAGACCACTGAGCCATCTCACCAGCCCTTTTTTTTTTTTTTTAATTCACTCATTTAAAATGTACACTTCAGTGTTTTAAGAAATATATTCACTATATTTGGTCCAATTACCATGAAAATGATTTTGCATCTTTATCTCCCCAAAGAAATCTTAGGTCCGTCTCCATTCCTACCTGCCCTGCACCCTGAGGCGGCCGGGCATCTACTTCCTGCATCTCTGGTTTGCCTCTTCCTGATAGGATTTCATGTATGTGGGATAAAACAAAGCATGGTCTTTGTGACCGGCTTCCTGCATGCCATTTTCCAGGTTCATCTGAGTTACTGCACCTTGTGGGTGTGTGCGCGCGGGGGAGTAACGCACGGCTTCACGCCAAGGTGCCTCCTCTGCCATTGAGCTACATCTCCAGGCCCCTTAATTCCTTTTTATGACTGAGTAATATTTCATTGAATAGATAGATCCCATTTTGTTTGTTAATTGGCTGGTAGCCACTTGGCCTTCTTCCACTTTTAGGCCATTATGAGTTGACGCTACCATCCAGGTATTTATTTATTTATTTTAATTTTTATTTGGGCGTGTGTGTGTGTGTGTGTGTGTGGCCAGCTCAGCCCACCAGGGGGCGGGGCTGGCTGGCATATGGTGCTGGGGGATTGAACCGCGGTCCCTGTGCTTTGCTAAGCTTGTTCTAAGTAGGTGCTTTAGACCACTGAGCCATCTCACCAGCCCCAGGTATTTATTTTTATAATTTAAGTTTTTGTCACTAATTTTGTATTTTTTTAGAATCTGAAAACATAGTATTTCCCTCTGGCAGGAGAAATTCTTGGAGAACATGTCATGGAGCAGAATAGGCTAAGTGGCAGTTAAAAAAAAAAAGCACTTGTTTCTATAGCCATGGTCAGTTTTAGGCAAAGTAAGCTTAAAATAGTTTAAATTGGCTGCCTGTGGTGATGCGCACCTGTACGCTCAGCACTCAGGAGGCTGAGGCAGGAGGGTCTCTGAGTTCAAGGCCATCCTGGGCTACAGAGTGAGCTCAAGGCCAGCCTGAAGTACACAGACCCTGTCTCAATAAATAAATAAATAAATAAATAAATAAATAAATAAATTCTAATTTGTACTTTTAGTTGGTAATTTTCTGTGTACCTAAAATGTGCATAAACATTTTAGTTTTGATAGTATGATTGGTTAAAAAATTGTGAAACTTAGATCCTGTGTGAATTCAGTCTACTTCTCCCCACGTGTGAGTGTTTTGTGCTGGGTGAGGCACACACAAGGACCCCCTGGGCAGCAGCCGGGCCTCCATGCTTAGCTGCAGTTCGCTGAGGATGGCCGGGGGCTCGGGGCACCTTGGGGCCAAGCAGACTCCGGCATCAGGGTCTCGGCTAAGAGCTCACTCAGACCCTGGGTGCAGAGGTAGGGCGGTCAGAGAAGTTTCCAGAAGAACGTTCAGGACCAGGCTGTGATTGGAAGAAGAGTGGATGTAAATAGAGCAGAAAGGAAGGATGGAGAAGGGAGGCGAGAGCTCTGGAGCAGGAAGTGGCGCTGCTGCAGGGCAGCACCTGCTCGGGTGTGGGAGATGGATGCCGGAGATGGATGCCGAGCTCCGAGCTCCGGAGGGGCAGCTCTGCAGGGAGCCAGGGAGATAAGCCCTGAGCCCGCCGCGCCGGGGGCCTGTGGGAAGCCCTGCGAGCAGATCCGGGGGCGGGTGGGGGAGGCCACCTTCCCATGGCACCAGGAGGGTGGGCAACGGTGTGGACAGTGAGGGGCGCAGTGGGTCAAAGAGCAGGCCGGAGCTGGTGTGTCGCGAGTTGGGCGTGCAGAGGCTGCTGGGCCTGGCGCAGCGCTAGTAATCGTTGCCTCTGTGTGTCCCAAGCTGTAGGTGAGTTGAACTTAATTAAAGGATTTTTTTTTTTTTTTGGCTCTGAATACCTTCAGGGCAGGTTTGGCTGGCTTGAGATGTGGGGCTCAAATCACAGCAACCTGAGCCTGACTGCTTTGTTGAAGCAGCCACTTAAAGTACTGAGCTAAGGGGCAGGCCTCCAGTTGAACTTAATTGAACTGAGTTGCCTCAACCAAACTGAAAATGCCAGTAGAAGCAACAAAGACTGCAGGACAAATTCTGTGGCTGATGGAGCACACCAGCTGTCCTGCATTCTCATTATAGTCAACTGTGAAGCTCCTGGGTTGATTTCAGATATTTATGCATTCTTACTTTGGAATAAAAAGCCAGTGGTTCAAGGCACTGAGGGAGTAGTGTTTACAAGGCGGGGAGAGGAGGAGGTCTTACCTAGCTGTTGTTTTGCTATTTCACCATCATGGGGAGGCTGTAGAATCTCAGATCCGAGAGTCAGGAAAATTGAACACAGGACCAGGCCGGGTGGACCGGGAACCGTCACAGCGTTGACCATCACCAGTTAAACTCCCCACAGGGGGCATCTCCCGTGGCTAAGGCTGAAATTCATCTCACCTTCTCACCCCCTGTCCCTGGTTTGAGGGAACTGGAGACACATACTCCTTTGGTAAGGCCACAGTTGCGGCCTGGTGGGTGGGTGGGCGGTCCTTTGGTTTTCATGGCCTGCTTCAGTGCTGCGCACCCTGCCCTGTTCTCAGAGCGGTGACTCGGGGCTCTCGTTTCTGTCCAGGTATGTATCCGCTGGCTGCGGCGGCCCAGGAGGTGGAGAGCAGCCGGAAGCTGACTCACCTGCTGAACGCCGTGACCGACGCTTTGGTCTGGGTGATCGGCAAGAGCGGCATCTCCGCGCAGCAGCAGTCCGTCCGCCTGGCCAATCTCTTGATGCTGCTGTCCCACGTCAGGCACATCAGGTACGGTCTGCGGCAGCTGCTGCACTGGGGGCGCGGGCGTGCGCTCGGAGCTTGGCAGAAGGGCCTGCAGGTTGGAGGTGGGTGTTAGAACAGTCACCTTTTTGGGAAAGAGTGGCGGGCATCAGTGTGTACCCCTGTAACCGAAGATTGGTACACGGTGGACACGGAATGAATGTCATGTGGGATTTTATAGGATTTTCATGGTACCCTGGAGTGGTTCGTCTGATTTTTGGTTGCTAGGGCTTAGAATTTGTTCATAGAGTCTCCAGAGGGGCACTTTCTTTCCTAAAATGAATTGCCATCCCTCCGTACCCGCGCTGGGCTGACGGCACACTTTGTCTTTACGAATGGCTGAGTTGGGCTCTCTGGGGGTCCCCCGTCCCCCCTGCCGCCAGGGCTGGTGATTTGGGGAAGCACAGAAAGCCTTTAATCAGAGTTATTGTTTCCCCGGATGACATGTGACTAGCAGGGATGAGATCTAAGAATTCCCATCAGGTACAGGAAGGCAAGGCTGTGAACGGAGCACATTCCAGGTCAGGAGACATAAACTGAGCAGGCGCTACTGCTGGACAGGGGCTGCCTGGGGAGCGGAGGTAATGGCGCCCCGGGAGTGAGGCCCAGGGGCTCTGGGGAGAGTCTTCGCACAGGGGAGGAACTAATGAAGACCGAGCACGTGTTGTCTCTCAAGAAGCCCATAGCCCTCTGCAGAACGCAGAGTTGCTCCTTGGTGCTTACCCACTTGGAAAGATTCATTTGTCCCTCTGGAACCAGTATCCAAGGCGCTTTTGAGGTCCTGCCAGGAGTGACAAAAAATCTTGAGTTGCTCAGTCCGCACATTCCCAGCGGAGGCTGGACAAGGAAGGAGATGCTTTGCTGTCTTGTTTGGCTCTCCGTGTCCTCTACGCTATTTAGAGCCAGGTGTTCGCTTTTTTGCTTTTTGTGGGTAATTTCATTGCTCAGAGCACTCCCTGGGCAGTGCTGAGCGTGTTCTCCAGTGTTCCTCAGTGCAAGCACGCTGAGGTGAGCCTTTCAGAGGAGACAAACGTCTTGGATGCGTGTCTTTCGGGCATAAGTTATGGCACAGTTGGCCGTGAGTTCGTTGGGGTTTTTGTATTTTAGGGTCTACAGGGTGTTCAGGGTCTTACTGCTGGATCGGACTCCTAGTGATCCACCTGTTTACAGCCTCCCAAGAGCTGGGATTGCAGGTGCACGCCACTACATCAAGTCTCAATTGCTGTCTCAGCCCACCCTGGGGGCAGGGACTGACTGACAGGCCCGGGGATCGAACCCCTGGCCCCTGTGCCTGCTTGCACACACTTTAATCCGCTGAGCCATTTGGCCGGCCCGTGAGTTCATTGTTAATGAAGCAACAATATATGTTAAATAATGATTCCGTACAGAAACACATGTAGGGTTGTGCAGTGATTGGTTGGTCAAAATGTTGCGACCAGTCTTGTAGGAACCTGCTGGATATTTCCCCTAGAAGCCATGATTCAGGATTTGCTAATTCAGGGTTTGTAGTGGCTTTATGGGAACTAACTCCCATGAGTGACAAGAATTGACTTGTTGTGTGCCAGGCTGCAGGGGGAGGGGGGAGGACGCACAAATCAGAGGACATCTGCGTTGCCCTGTCCAGAACTGACTGAGTACCAGACACATGTGCTGGAGGAAGGGGGCGGGGAGGTGGAGGGCACGTGGGTGGGGGGCTGGCTGTGCTCTTGGGGCCTGGGGAGGACTTCAGCAGTGCTGGGGCTCCCTCAGGGAAAGAACCTCAGCAGCTTTTTGTCCCCATAGTAACAAGGGCATGGAACATCTGCTCAGCATGAAGTGCAAAAATGTGGTCCCAGTGTACGACCTGCTGCTGGAGATGCTGAACGCTCACACGCTTCGCGGGTACAAGGCCTCTGTACCAGGGTCCGAGTGCAGTTCGGCAGAGGACAGTAAGAACAAGGAGGGCTCCCAGAAGCCACAGGCTCAGTGACGCCCAGCCTCGAGGTAAACAGGCCCACGGAGGAGGTCGCGGTGGAAGCTACACGCCAGGAGGCCCGAGCCTGGGTTTCATCCTCACCGCTGAGCGTCCCTCCTTGGGTTGGGGTAGCTCAGCCGGGCACCATTTTCCTCACTTCCCTTCTACTGGTGTGGTGAGACTCTCACAGCTTCCCTTGTGCCAGGAAGGGGGACACTGGGATGCAGAGTTCCATCTTGCATGGCTTAATGGGCTGTCAGTGTGGTTCCTGTCTCACTTCCTTCCCCTTCCCACCCCTTTAGAAAACATCTTACAGGTTTCGGAGTGGTGCAAATCTGACTGGCAGTGTTGTGAAGTAGAGGGGAGAGAGCATGACCGTCTAGAGGAGGTGGACTGGCCCTCACCGGGCGGCCTTCACTTCACCTAGCACTGACTTTGTCCGCTCTCTTCTGGGTCATGTGATTGGAGGGTGGAAACCCCAGTGACAATCCCTTAGCTAGTGTCATACACCTACCTCACAGGCCTGTGAGGATTGACGTCAGGTTACAGGATTTGGTCAAGGACTAGAGCCCGTGGTCAGGCGAGACGTGAGCCACATTCTCCTCAGGCCTTGTTGCAGTCTCTGTGCCATTCAGCCCTCTGGGTTGCATTCAGTGTACTTGCGGATTCCTTGGGCCCACGTCTGCTGTGTGTGCTCACTCTCACGAAGGGCTGCGGGACATTAAACTTGCTGTGCTCCTGGAGTTTGGCCTTCCTGAAGGCCCCAGGAGCCCTCGTGTGTGCGCTACAGGAAGGCCTTGGGGTTGCAGGGACAGGCACTCTCTGGCACGGTTAGTCACAGTGCCTTCCGGGTGCCTTGGCTGCACAGTAGGGGGAGCCATCCCAGGTGCCACATCAGCCACCCAGGGGACACAGGGACAGACAGTTGGGGCTGTGCATGTGCATGGTGTGTTCTGTGGAGAAATGTTCCACGTGTGTTCTAGCAGAGCAGCCGCAAGGCCACTATTACACTTGCACACGTTGCCGCTTCAGCAAGAACTCATGGTGTGAGAGCTCTTCCCAGAAAGGAGAAAGTCAGGGGAATTATTTATAGCTAAAAGGAATTTTTTTAAACCCCAGGGTGCTCTTAAAATATTTTTTTATCAGAACATTTGTATGGTGGGCTGAGTGAGACAAACAATAAAACTTCTTCATCTAAATGGAATATAAATAGGAAACAAAGATAAAGCACCTCTGAAATGGTATTTTTACTAAGCTGAAGTTTTCAGACAATCTTCTGGGGAACAAAAGCGCATACCATGTTTAATAGTTCTACTCTGGAAGTGGGCAATTAAAATACCACATTGATCCTTTGTGGTAATGCTTTTAGAAATTACCGTGCAATATGGTATGAAATGTTTTCTTTTTGAAAATAAGTTTATTTTGGGAGCACCTCCTGTATTTACTAAGTCATGGGGAAGATTGAAAGTAATTATAAGGGTTAGTTCCTACTAGAGAGAACTTGAATAATTGATTTTGATATTGGTGCAATTTTACTAACAGTCAGGCTTAGCTGTTGCTTAAGCCCTTGGATGTAGAGCTGGGGACACTGATGTGGAGGCAGTTCAGAACTTCTTAGTGACAGTGTACAGCTTTAGAGAGACTCAGCACAGAAAATAGAAGTGTGGTAAATGGGAAGCAGGGCGTGGTGCTAGCCTGGAATTCGGTTTTCTTCCTTTCTGGCTGCCTAGATCTCCCACTGGTAATCCAGAGGGGACAGCTGACCAGAGAGTAGGAAGCCACACGCAGAGAGACAGCCTCAGAGTTCTGTTAGTTCTGTTGAAGAGGCTACTAGGTAAAGAAAACTAAAAAGCAAAACATCAGACTGAGGTCCCAGCCGTTGCTTAGTTCTAGTGGAGTAAATGTTTTTAGGGTTTTCTTCCCCCCATACTGGGGATTGAACCTAGGGCCTTGCACATGCTAGGCAAGTGCTTTGCCACAGAACTACATCTTCAGTCATCCCCTACTGCCTTTATAAAATTTTGAAACAGCATCCTGCTAAATTGTCGAGGCTGGACTTGAACTTAAGATCTTCCTGCCTCAGCCTCCTGAGTAGAAGTCACAGACATGCACCACCACATCCTGCTTAGATTGCTTTCTGATATCTAAGGAGGGTATCAGATTGGACACGGGTGGCCGAGCACCTTTGGTGCAAGTCTGGTACACACCCGGGTGAGTGCGTGTTCCGTCCATGCGACGCTCGTCCAGTGGCTGTTCCAGTAACTCCCCACGCGTTCCCCTGCCTGCTTCTGGGTCGTGGGTTTCACTGCACTGGGATTTAGCCCAAGAGGGGATGTGGCGCTTTCCACCATTCCTCTTGGGCTGGGCTCATCCAGCCTGAGGGCCTGCTGGGTGCTGGGTGCTTGCTGGGGTCTGGGCAAGTGGGGATGAAGATGACGTGGCCTGCACTCTGCAGGTGCTTGATGTATTGAGCATCCCTGGCCTGTCCCCCTCCAGATGAAGAGTTTGAACATCTGTCCCCATCTGCTCCAAGTATGTCCTGTAAGGATGACACTTTGATGTCAGGGTGCTGTATTGATGTGCATTTTAGTCGTTTCTCGGTGTTTGCTTCTTCGGATGCTTCTGTCTGGGTGTCTCCAGCCCTCCCAGAGCTCACGCCTCTTTAGGGCAAGAGTTCTCCCAGAGCTCAGCACAGGTCTCACTGTTTGCTTTTTAAAGGCGTTAAATAGGGCAGATAGGACCTGGTGGAAACCGTGAGCAGGACCTAGATTTTTGAATAAAAACCAAGCTACATTTGCTGTATTACGGGATAGCGATCGTCAGCTTTGCCTTAGACTGGTGTGGCAGGATTCCCTTCTGCTGTCCTAACAAGAGAAGCTTAATCACAGGAGATAAATGGGATTTGGCCTGGACTCCAAAGGCATGAGTCATAAAGACAGATTTTAATAAATGGTTCGTGTGGAGCATCTGTAACCCAGAGCATTCCCTCCGATTCCTGGAGCGCCTGGCTGTCCCTAACGCGGATGGTGGAGGCAGCCGGGGAGCGTGCTGCTGGGGTCCACGGCGCATTTTGTCTGGTGAACTTTCCTGTGTTCCCATCACCTTTGCCTGTCCCCAGGCTTGTCACACACCAGGGCTAACTACAAAGGATTAGACCCAAAAATTACCCATGAAGAGAATTTTCTCAAAAAATCAAGGAGACAGAGCTGTCTGCCAAATAACAAATCTGGGAGCCTTAATCATATTCAAAAAGAAACAGTGCAGACTCCACCAGGGCTTTGCAGTTTGACTCTTTATCTGGATTACTTCACCTACTAACTTAGCAGGAAAGCCGGCTACTTTAGAAAAAAAATCAATTACCAATTCCCGGCAGAGCTACATATATATGTGTATATATATGCTAAGTTGAAGAAATTCTACACTTTTCTAGCATGTGAAAATAAGGTTGGTTTCTCTTTACATCTGTGAAGGGGATTGTATTGATGACATCTTTTCAAACTGAAGGTGTTGAGTTCTATTTTGAACAAAATATTTTTATGTAATAAGATGTGATTTTTTTGTCTCTTGGTGGTAGTTTGGGACTGAGCCCAGGGTCTTCACACTGTGCTATATTCTGAGCCCTTGTTACTTTCTGAGACGCAAGCTGCCTAGCTGGCACCGGCAGTCCTCCCGTCTCAGCCTTCTAGACTGCTGGGGTTACAGCACCACCACTGATACAGGTTTTTAAGCTGCTAAATCTCTTTAAGAGCACAATAAAGACTGTGTGAAGAAACAAAAGTGTAAGTAGTGCATTTGAGAGCCCGAGTCCTCATCGTTGAACTCTTCCACATTTAATCCTCATCATCGGTGGCTCTAATTTTCTGACTCATGGTCACAGGGAACAAAGTGACAGAGCTAACCTCAGGAAGTTCAAGGCCAGGGCTGAAGGCAGGGCCGGCCGGCCCCACAGTTCAGGTGGTTACGTTCAAGAGCTGAGGGCATGGCCCAGCGGTAGAACTCTACCTAGTGTGTGCAAAACAAGAGCCTGGGCTCCATCCCTACCACGATGAAAATAAAATCTTAATTATAAGAACTGTTTTTGTGTTCTGTCACTGGCCTGTATTCTTCAGCCCAAGAAAAATATTTTAAAATTGCAGTGGGGGCCTACTTTGATACCTGAAACTCATTTCCTGAACAGTCCTATAGAGCGTGTGGACTCCTGATGTAGGAGTTTGGGTCCATCCATTATACGTATGTAAATTAAAGCCCAGAGGGGCAAGGTGACCTGCTTCAGGTCAGGAAACTACTGATGGCCAAGGGAGGAGCACACTTCAGTTCCTTTTGCGGATAGCACAACTCCCAGGTGCAGGTTTGTGCTGCTCGGCCTGTGACGGAGCCTCGGTTTGGTTCTGGTTGTCTTCTGCTATCGCTACCTTCTCCGCTTAGATGGGGGTGCGTGAGTCTTCACAGAACAGCAGCCGTGACAGGCAGATAACAAGTCGGATGAATTCTCTTCCGGTCCTCCCGGCCTGGACTCCGAGACGAGGCGTATTTGCCATTACCTGCTCCTTCTGAAGTCTCGCAGGAAACCCACCCAGGTGAAACGTCTCCCATTGCTCACGCGTCGTGGCTTCCCCGTGGAGTCTGGTGTGCCGTAGCATGCGCACACACGCATTTGTGCTTCGTGGCTCTCGAGCTCACTGAGATGCTGGCTCCAGTGGCAGATCCGTGGTGGTGTGCGCTGTCTCTGATACCGTGTTGCCATTTTTGTTGCTTTGAAGTCACAAATTTCTATTATTTTTTTAATCCCAAGGATCCTAGTCACCTTGTAGGGCCAGCCGCTGTCGATAGTGGGTTTCCCGTCTGTGAAGGGCTGGAGTTTGATGCCACCCTAAAATATTTCCTGGCGACTCTACCATTGATGTCATATCTTCCTGTGTCAGTGGCTAAATACCACAAATGCTGGTTCCGGAACTGTCATGCTGTGGGCCTGGGCACTAGAGCTAGCTGTTGGCTACACTTTGTCCTTCTGTTTTGTTTTTCCAGACATGCTGTGTGCCATTAGAATAATTTGAGCACCATTCACAGGCTTCTAAATGCGGGCCTTTTAAGAAATGTATGAAAGCAGGTTTTGAGGCTTGCTTTCTGTTCCTCTTGGTAGTATTTTTCCTGACTGTCTCTTTAATGTCTATGAAACTGCTGCAGAAAGAAGTTTAATGTGATATAATAAACTGCTTTTCATAATTTTGGTCTTAAAAATGTATTTGTCGGGAGTTTAGTATGAGAGCGTACAGTGTCCAGGCTCAAGAGTGTCTGCATTCCGTGAGCTCCGGGCTGCTGCGGGTTTATAGAGCCCTTTGGAAACTTGATGGAAAATTTATCCCCCGAGAAGAAGGCAGGTCACCGTGCTGCTTGAGCACCGTCAGGGGTTACACCTCTGTCATCAGCTGAGCTTCCTGAACAGAACAATCTAAACTTTGGCCATCTAATCACTTGAGATCTATGGCTGCAGGTGCTGTGTGCATAAAATGCACCTACAAACGTGTAAGTGCTGGGGTGCCCCGCATCAGTCATTTGGGTAGACTTCCTGAAACTGCCCCATCTGAGCTAATTAGTAGCACACCTTCAAAGATGGGGAGAAAAGAAATCATTTTTTTTCTGCTCTGCAGTTCAGGCTGGCCTGGAGCTCGGTTTGTAGCCCAGGCTGGGATCGCAGGCATGTACCACCACGCCCAGCCCGTTCATTCACACTGAAGTTGTCTTTGTGCCAGTATTCCTTTGAAATCCTCCCTTGGAGGGGGGAAAGAGAAGATGCCAGTGTGACAGTGCAAGACAGAGGAGATGAGCTGATACTAGGGTTTGGGGGCTACCCAGGCTTGGGGAAGGAATGCGGCAGCAGGATTCTCTGGCGCCGGGGATCAAGTGGCACGCTGGACTTACCTTGGAGGAACCACTACTGATGCCCAGAATGAGGCTCTGAAATGCAGCTGGCATCTTTCATGGCTCCAGGGCAGATAGTCCTCAGAAAGCTTTACCTCGCGTACAGAGCGGGGACAGATTTACATCAGGCTATATTGGATGGGGACCCTCTAAGCAGCTCAGTGGTTTAAGGGAAAAGGTGTGACATTTTCACTTGTACAGTACTTCCCTCTAGGATGATTGATTCATTTTGATGAGTTAAAGTACTTTGAAACACTTCTTTCCATGTCCATTAAACAATTTGACAACTTAAGTCACTGAAGGTAAAGTGAACAGATTCTCCTCTGATGGTGCCTCGGCTGCAGAGCTGCTGGCTAACTGTGCAGGCCATGTGGCCGTTCACGCCGAGGAACCCCCCTTGGAAAGCCCAGCTCTCAGATACCACTTGGCTTCCTGGTCTCCTAAGGTAGGAGCGTTGCAGGAGAGGGGACTGTACTGGGCTGGGGACTGGCGGGCCCATCAGTACTGCCTCCAGGTGGCGCAGTTAAGGACTGGGTTAGTAACTTTCAAATCTGGGGAGGTGGAATGCTACAGTTGACCTTTGTTTAGTGGAAGTTGATTTCTGTGAAAAGCAGGTAGCTCTGCCTATAAGACAGGTACACTTAAGTACCTGTCCCAGGCTGAATACCCGCACTCAGAAAGCTCCACAAGCTCAAACTACCCCCTCCTTCCTCCAGGAACGGATCCTAGAGCCTCCATGGGCTACATCCCCAGCCCCACACCCAAAACTTTGAGAACAGGACATCACAACTGGAAAATTCTACACCATGAAACCTTGTTTCATGCACAACATTACTAAAAACACTCCATAATTCGGGCTGTGTGTGAAGTATAGGACACAGGTGAGTTCTTGTATAGACCTGGGTCCCATCCCCCAGGGAGCTTATCTTCTCTATGCAGTTCCTCCCCAAGCCAGACAAGCCCCCAATCCACATGTCTAGTTCCAAGCATTTTGGGTAATGGACTCTCAACCGGTAACACCTTCAGGAAGGGCGGGGACAGGGGCAGTGGGGGGGGGGGCGCGGCAGCTGTGTGTGCACAGTCACCTTCTTGCAGGGTAGCCTCATCCCCTCTGCCACAGCTGCACACAAGGGGGTCCGTCACTGGATGGGTTGAGGCTCTAGAGCTCATCTATCCAGCAGGAAAGAAGTAGGATAAAGAGCTCTCCAAAATATTTTTTAAATAATTTGTTCTTTGGAAAATCGAGTGCGCCACTGACCCTCTTTGAAGCAGTGCTTTGGCTAATTTTATGTTTTAATGAGAAACATCTGAGTTGTACATATCACAAATAGCTTCAAGTTTTTGTACCCCTCCCCCTGTTCAACCACACCTGAAGTGTCTCTTTGAAAAGTCTTATAAAATTAACTTACAAAAACATCCCTATCAAGTCTGTAGCTTGGCATTTACTGTACATTAGTCAAAAGCTTGAGCTAAAATCAGATTTTTAAAAAAATCAAAGTTTACATTATTTATACAGATTCAGCATTGTTTAAAAATATGCACAAGTAACCACATCCATGCAATAAAATTTCTTAAAAAATTTAGAGCAATATAAAAGAGTAAGCCTGGGCCCAGAGCATCCCTGCTTCTAGCCGGTAGCCACAACTGATTGGAGGAGAGCTGCTACTGCCCACTGAAGGGGACTGTGTCCACCCCTCAGAGCTCAGGGTGTGTCTGAGCTTCTGAACCACTTCTAAGGCAGAACCTGTTTGTCTCTCTCAGATACACAACGGGACGAGTGCACCGCTGTTCATGGGCGCTGTTAACTATGTTGAAATAATGCTGGTTTACAAAGAAGTCAGGATTCACAAAGTGCGCGGCTCCTCAGGAAACTGCCCTTTCCAGAGTCTGTTCAATGAGTTGACCAGCTTTGCCAGGATGCCTAGGGCACCCTGGCCTGGGCAAGCCCAGAGGGAGGCGCCTAAAACAGGTCCCAGCCTTGCCAACATGAGTCTCTGATAGCTCGCTCAGGGGCTTTGAGCTGGGCACCTGTGACAGGAGGCTGGTGGCGTGGCACTGTGCTCCCGCCCCACCCACTAGGTGGGGGGCGGCCCGTTGGTGTAGCTCAGCATGGGGTAAAAGGAGCGGGCGAAGTTGTTGGCCTGGGTGCAGCTGTAGTCCTCTTCGGAGGCAGGCAGCAGGCAGGCCAGCAGCAGTAGCAGCAGCAGCAGCAGCTGCAGGGGCAGCGCCGCCCGGATCACCCGCGAGAGGAAGGAGCGCCGTGGCTTCGAGCTGCTGGGGTTGGCGGGGCCGGACACCCTGCCAAAGAGGTGGCAGACCAGTTAGGCGGGTCCAGGGGCTGCACCCCCGCCACCCGCGCAGCTGACCCTCAGCCCACAGGGAGAAAGAGCACACAGTGAGACCCAAAGCGGGGCGGGTGCTGGGGTTGCATTCTGGAGAAGCCAGGCCTTTCCAGACAAAAGCAGTCAGATTTTTACAAGGACTGGATGGTGGCACTAGCCAAGCTGGAAGGATGACAGGAAGGGTGACCCCCGGGGATCACTGCCGGGACTCGACTGCCATTACCTGCCGTCACTGTCATCCTCATCCTCGTTCTCCATGGTCCCCTCGGCTCTGAACTGCTGGAACAAAGAAGCCGGTGAGTTGTCAGGCTTGTCTTCTGCAACACTTTTGGGACTAAAGCAATAATCTGAGATTCAGGTTCAGTGATCACGAGTTTAAACTATCAAGAGATCTCTGTTCCAGCCTGTTTTGATTTAATGGACATATCAAGAAACTCGTCATCCCAAACAATGGTGAACAGAAGAGGGCCTTTGAGTCAGGGTTAAAAGAGGGTATTGAGCACATTTGGTCTCTGGAGCATGCGTCTCCCTTCAGCAGTGGGCTGAAGCAGATGCCGCCGGCAGGTAATACCTGGGGGGCCCGGGAGTCCCAGGACTAACAGCACCCAGCATGGTTCTCTGGAGGAGGGCACTCACCTTGGCCTGGGGAGCTGGCACGGGTGCCGGAGGAGGCTGGTCCCCGGCGTCCACTTCATCGAAGGCAGGCAGGGCTGGGTCTGGGTTCTGAAAGCCACAGCCCCCGAGTTCGCAGGAGCGTGAGGCTCTGTGTTCCACGCAGTCTTAAGCCCCCCACCCCATTCTCCTCAGACATGGGGCTTCTGTGCTGTCCTCACTTGAACACAGATTTTCTCAAGCAAGGGGAGTAACCAAGGCACAGCCAAGCACTGGTGCTGAGCACCATCCCAACTGGCGGGGTGCTAGTCACATACACCCAAGAGGATCCTGCAGCCGCGCCACGACCCACCCAGGTGTATGGGAAGACAACAGGGACTCAGAGAGGAGGGTCCCACCTCATGTGGGAGGCTGCAGCCTGCCTATTCCATTGGCTCTGAGGTGGGTGACATCGTAAACTAAGTGGACAAGGAAGAGGACTTGAAGCTGTGTCACAGTCACAATGAGAAAAAGCTTGAGGGACTTGTTTTCCTTTTCATTCCTGGGATTCTAGCTAGCTCCTCTGCAGTAAGCGCATCCACAAACCTTTTCAAATTTTGAGACAGGGTCTCACTTAACTGCTAAGTGGCCCTGTCTGAGCTCGAACTTGCGGTCTTTCTACTCCAGCCCCCGAGAGGTTTACAGAAGCAGCCTCCGTACTCCCACCACTTGTCTTTCACAATGCCAACCCACAAACAGCCTCTGTATTACTGTTACCGCCCCCTTTCCATGAGCAGAACACACGTCTGGAACTCACACAGGGTTCTGGAAGGGCCAGGCCCCTCTGCTCTGGCCTCCTGCCGCAATGAGGCCACAAATCCTGCCTGCTGGTGCACGCCTACTGGGACATCTTAACTCACAAAAGCAATGGGTGGACTCACCTGGCTTCTCTGCAGGGACAGTAAATCCCGGGCCACCTGCTCGCGTAACTGCTGCAGTTTCTGCTTGATCACGTGGACCTTCTCTTCAGCCTCAACATACTCCTCCCCGTTCCCCTCGAGGAGGAGGCTGGTAGAGAGCTCATGTAAGGAGTTGACTTGAGGTTGGCGCTCTATTAACTCCTTTTCCAGTTGCTGAAAGTAAAAATGGGTGTGAAGCAGTTGTCTGAAGGGCAGCCAGTGTGGCCAGACAAGGCTTTCTGGGCTCCAGGATGGATGACAAAGGGGTGCTGGGCTGCTCAACTCCAGAACCTTCTACCAATCAGTATCTGTCTGTGGCCTCAGTAGAGCGCTGTTCACAGAGAGTTGGTTGTACCCTATTTAAATTTTATTTTTTCACTTATAAATAATTGTAAGAGAAAGTACAGGAAAAGAAGTGAATGCGGTTGTGGGCAGACTGGGCCCTTGTCTATTGGGCAGGAAGCCAAGGGAGATGAATGGTGAAAGGCCAGCGTCAGGGTGCTTAGAGATACAAGGGGATGCGCAAGGTGTCAGTGTGCATCCTCAGGCAGCTATTAGTCAAAATTAAAATTTGGTTTCAGTCACAAGAGCTGCATTTTCGTGTTTAACGGCGTCTGAGGGTAGCGGTCTCCCCGCTGGACAGCGAGTGCAGAGGGCATTCTCTCACCACTGCTCTAGAGTGGGGCTTTACAATGACTTTAGAGCAAAATTTTTTTTTTCTAAAAACACTGGCCAGCAATTTTAAATTTAAAATATTAAAAATTAAACCACCTGCAGCTCCTCTTGGCTGTGGAGTAGAGCGCAGCCCTGCTTCCCCCAGTAGCAGCTGGGGAGGCCTTCCTATACCCCAGTCCCACGGGCAGTCAGGGCAGCTGTACTGGCCTCTCTTCTCCATTCCTTCCTAGACAGCACAGCAACTCTTTGCTCACAGTTACATTACAGTAGGTACTGTCTGCAGTAGGGATGAAAAAGTATCCAAGAGGACTATCTTGGTTATATGCAAATAATTTATGTGCTTTAAGGGACTTGTGCATCCAAAATTTTCAGTGGAGGTGGGGTCAAGAACCAAGCTTCTGCAGGTGCCAAAGGGACCACTGTACTCGTGAGAGAAATCCTTCTAATGCCATTTCAATGGCCTCAAGTTTCTCAGGATGTTGCCAACACCCCAACCCCAATCCCCAAGTCAAAGACTTCTTGCTGTGGCTGTTTATCCCTGCTGTAGGACAACAACCATCTGCTGGAAGATACCCACGGCAACACAAGGGCTGAGATCAGGTCACCGTGGCCACTGGTATCACAGTGCACGGCATGCTGGGAAGTGGCCCAGGGTTCGGATGCCCTGGAGCCGACAACAGCCAGCGGTTGTGTGGAGGTCCCAAGGAAGAAACGCACCGAGAGTTGTTTCTGGCAGTGCAGGAGAACCTGGGGGTCGGCCTCCAGGTCGGCAGCAAGAGCCTTCTGCCTCTGGTCTTCGGCGCTTGCCAGCCACAGCAGCAGGTTCTGACTCTGCTGGTGGAAGTCCTTAAAACACAACATGCAAAACAAAACAAAAACAAAAAAACCACAACATGCATCGGGGGTGTATGTGGAGTACTGTGAAGGGTCCTGCCTGGCAGGCAGCTCGCTGCTGCCATCAAGCCCTGGCACTCGGCCCATCATCTAACTTGGTGTTAAACCAGAACTCCAACCCAGGAGAGCGGAAAGCAGGGAAGGACACCTGGCAGACCTGCAGGCATCAGGTGGAAAGTGCTAACAGAGGCTACAGGGTGCCCCCCGATGGACAGGCTGGGAGGGCTCAGAAGTGACAGGTGCCAAGCACATATGTATCACATACACTGCCACCTTATTTAGTCCCATAAAGGGCCCTGGGAGGTGGCATTAACGTAACTCCCATTTTTAGATGTGAAAACTGAGGCCGAGAAGGTTCAGTGATCAGCCTGAAGTCCCACAACAACTAAACTGGCCAAGTCTCCCAGTTACCCTGGCAAGAGGGCAGAGATGTGGCAGTGCTAGGGTGGCATCTCTAGCCCATGTGGGCTTAGGCAGTCGATGAAGAGACCCAGGGCCAGCGAGATGGGGCACACTTTAGAAATAAGCAGTGAAGCACGGTGCTGGGCCAGAAGCCTGACGATGGTAAAAATAGCTGCTGCTCCCCCCACGGGCCTGGCTGCTGCCGGGGACGTGCCTGAGCTGAGCCAGCGTACCTGGCACTGCAGCAGCAGCTGCCGCAGCCTTGCCCTCCAGCTGTCCATCTCGCCCTGGGCCGCCTCCCAGCGCAGGCCCAGCTGGCAGAGGCTACGGTGGAGCTCTGCGGACTCGGTGCTCTCGCTCGGCAGAGATTCCTTGGCACTCACGTTGACAGACACCATTAAAGCCTTGTAGGTGTCAAAAGCTTTTGCTGTCTCCTGCCATGGAAGAAAAGATCAGGTTAGGAGCCCTGGAAACTTTGAACCTCGGCCGGGAAGGATCTTCCATACACTTCTCCAGGCTGTGGCCACGAACTGAAAGTGACCTTGCCCGTGACTGGCTGGACGGATCAGGTGAGGGTGCTGCCTTACATGGGCAGCGGGCTGCACCGGGCGGCCGGGCCTGCGGACCGAGGCTGCCTCCTGGGTGCTCAGCTCGGCCTGCCCGGAAGCCTTGAGAGACTCTGCGCGTACCCACAGCCCCTGCCTCACTACCAATTCTGGACCTAATTGAAAGTCTTCTAGATAAAGTGTACGAAGCTCTCCTGCACTCACCCCTTGACATCCCAATAATGTTGTTCGCTGAAGGGTAACTCCCGTTCTGTTAATGCACAGAGTAAAGTAAAAGTGAAAATACGCAGAGTGCTGGGACACCCTACGCCACCTGCCCTAGGCCTCAGGAGCTCAAACCGCACCACTCCCTGCTGTGGGGCCCAGACTCATTATGTGTGTGACGAATCCCAACTGCAGTAAGAGAACAAGACTAGGCCAGAGGGGGCATGAGCGGGTGAACTGGCCTTGCTCAGGGCTGCAGCACATGGCTTGCAGGGGTGGCGTGAACTGCCCGACTGGCCTCCAGCACTCCACGGCAGTCTAGAGATGCAGGGCTTCCTGGCAGCAGGGACTCTAAAGCCCACTTCCCCAGCCCGCTCTGGGGTCACCGTCAGTACAAAACTGTATCTGTGTTCCTTCCTGCCAGTCACAGGAGTGACCGACCTTGACCATGCCACCCGTGAGAGGCCTGCTGACACCCTGAACACGCCTGGTACATTCATCCCACGCAGCAGCGCGCTCTGACCCCCTCGCCGCAACTCACCTGCAGCCTCTGCACGCCTAGGCCCAGTTCCTGGATGTCTGAGGGAGGCTTGGCCATCTTCAAAGTTCCCAGCTCTGCTTCAGTTTTTTCCAGCCAAGCAGAGATGTCGCTGATGACTGTGTTCAGCTGCTGCACGTTTTGTTTTATTCTGAGCTTACTGTGCAGCTCTTGTGCTTGTACCAGCTCCCATGTGTCAAAGGCACCTGGGACCAGAAGTCAAGTCATAATGGGAAAACGTTTCTGTCCTAGCTACTGGGGGTCAGGGCGGTGGTGCTCCTGGCAGGAGGACCTGAGCACAGCAGCGCTCTCGGGCACAGCAGGACAGGCAGCGCCGACAAGGGCTCTGGCCTCAGGCTCACACTTCACTCTCCCTGCAGTTACGGCAGTTTTCCTTTGGCTCACAAGTGATCAGGACAATTCTGTGGGCTTTCCTTGCGATTTAGTTGGGTAGTAACTCCAAAGATCATTGCACTGGTCTAACGAGGTACCCAAGGCAAAGCTCTGATTTGACCTTCACGTAGGATTTTTCATATAGGTGATGTGAAGTCATTAGAAAACATGCACTATATCATATGGATGAGATTCCTTTTGTCAATGTTTAAAAAAGTTTCCAAATCGAAGTGAATAACCTAGGGATTCATTTTTAAGTGTTTCATCAGCTTACTTGAAAACAACACTGGCTGTTGCGGGGCAGGGACGGAACCTTCTAGAGACAGAGTGCACGAACCCCAACCTACATGCTTATTGCAAAATGCCAATGCTGCAATTAAACCTCAATACTGAAGTTTTAGTGTAGAAAAAGCCCAGCTCATAGGTGAGCATCTTTTTTTTTTTAAAAAAAACAAAAACAACACGTGTGCCATAGGTTCGCCGCCTCTGCCACAGGGCAAGTTCAAGTCTTGACAAGTTTTATATCGTGGTTGGTAGGTTCCTACAGAACGCTCTGCCAAGCCATGCCCTGCGGTAGTGCTAGTCTAACGTGGCTCAGACACGCACGCGGCCTTTCCTAAGGACTGCCGCTGGGTACCTGAGTGCTGTCCTGTCAAGCTGGACAGCTGCTGCTGCTCCTGCTGGGGGCTGCCGTTGGACACTCCCGTGGCTGCTTTGCCAGCATCGGTTCTTGGGTGTAACAGCAGTTTTACCTAGAATGAACCAGTTTTTAAGTTACTGCCTGTAGAATTTAAAGGTTATCTGAAGAACAACTGGGTTCGTATTAACAGGCAAGAAATGGGCGCTTTCCTCTGAGCAGAAGTCAGACCAAGCTGCAGCAGCAGCCCGAGGAAGGGGACAGGACGCCGCCGGTGGGACCAAGATGGGCTGTTTTAGTCTGCAGATTTCCTGACCTTCCCCAAACTGCACAAAAAACACACACGCAGTTACTGAGCATGGCTGCTAACTGCTACCGTGTGTACACTTTTGTATTCTCAGTTGTCGTCCCTCAGGGGGCTGGCATGTCATCACCCAGAGTCAGTGGCCAGGGGACAAACTGCTGCCCAGGTCATCGGCTAGCGCGCTTATCCACCATTGCACACTGTGGCTCTTCCGTTATCACAGAGCTGATTGGGCTATTATCTCACAGCTTTCCAAAAATAAATGTTTCTTTTAGAAAAGCTATGCTTTGCTTGGGTTGTGTCCATGTGGTCTGTTCGTGTGGAATAAAAAAAAAAAAAAAAAAAAAAAAAAAAAAAACTTCAGCTTGTTGCTGACACATGCCCAGCTTTGAACACAAAAAGCAGGCTGAGTTTTCTTTTCTTTTTTTTTTTGGCGGAACCGGGGATTGAACTCAGGCCCTTGCGCTTGCCAGGGGAAGCACTTATTTCACTGAGCCATCTCCCCGGCCCCGGGCTGAGCTTTGAAAGTGGCCTGGTGAGGGGTATGAGTGTGACATCTGAAAGGAAGCTCAGGCCTGGAGGGGCAAGTGGGGCTCAGGCACCAGGTCTGCCCTCCAGTCGGATTCTGCACCGCAGTGGGGCAGGTGAAGTGACAGCTGCTGGCTAAGCAGAGAGACGTTTTTGGGTTGGGCCCGGCCCACCCACGGTGCAGTGGCTCCAACTGGGCAGCACAAAGACAGCCCTGATTCCAATTCCGTGGCAAAAGCCAGTCACTTCTAGAACTGACGGCACTTGGACTGCACCCACGGATGCTTTGTATAAAAAGGTGGCACTAAAATGCAAGCAGTCTTTTTTTGGGGGGGGGGTGCTGAATCGAACTCAGGACTCCGAGCTTGCCGCTGAGCTACAACCCCGGCCCACAAGCAGTTGTTTTAATTTCAACTCATTCATCATTGATTCTCGCTACTAAGCATCATCTCTGGCCAACATTAAGCCCTAGGCTGCCCCAGGAGCTACTAGCCAGAGCTCATGCGCCGAAGAAGCTAGAACTCTGATGAAGAGGGAGCAGTGGCTGTGATCAGGGACAACCCCCAGTGGAAGCAGGAGCAAGAGCCACCGAGGGCCCGTCACTGAGGGCCTTCTTGGGCCTTTGTCTGTCAACCCCCTCACCCCTACATAAGGCAGCTTTATCTGCAGGTGAGAAAGGGCAGACTTTAGGCCCCAGAGTAAGCCGGTGGCGCTGGAACTCAAACCCACATCCGTCACAGCTCAGCATTCGATCTGAACCATGACGCCCTGCTTTGCTGACGAGGGTGTGTGCCCGCAAAGCAAAGAGAACCAGAGTCTGGGAGCTCAGGAGAGGCCAGCCTGTCACTTCCAAACCACTTGCGTGGACAAGTGACTCAACTGTAGCAACCATGTCAACTCACATAAAGGTGGATTTTAGTCAGAAGCTTCTCTAACTCGGGTCAGTGTACCAGTGTTCCAGTGAAGAAGTGACAGCCTTGAAGGTCTCCTTGCTTTCTTTTTTGTGGCCTTGTGCATGTTAGCGAGAGCTCTACCACTGAGCCACATCCTCAGGCCCTCGGCAGAGGTATGTCCCCGAGGACAAACCCACTCAGAATGTGCTGCAGACTCGGCACGTGCCGGAGGCACCGAATTCTGTCCTTTACACATTTTCCTTCCTCCACTTAGGTTCTGCTCCCAGGGTGTTGCGACTTACATAGGGAGGTTTATAAGGGGTGCTGGCATCTGAAGGGACGGGTGGGTCACTCCTGTCCTCCATGTGTTGGTAGCGATGCTTGGCATGGGGAGGGCTGTCAGGAACGTGCCATGGGTGGCCATCAGACATGGATTTCCCTGAAACCAAAAGGAGCAAGTGACGGTCTCTTCTCCCACCAGAGGGCTTGTGTTTAGTGACATGAGAAAGGTCATGGGTCACATGGCGTCAGGTTATAGTTCCTCAGCTTTCCTTGCAAAGCATGCACGTTTGCAAAGTGTCAGTACGTCTCGGGGAATGAGATGAAGCATGCAGCCGAGCGACATCGTGCCTTCTCTAGATGGGGTCACGTGAAGCACAACAGACACATGATTTGCTGCGGGATGAGTGGCACCTGGACGGAGCGGGTGTCCTCAGCGGTGGGGACACTGAGGGGCAAGGCCCGGTTTGGGCGCCAAGAGGGCAGAATGCCTCTGTGGAGCGAGGGCAAGCACGAGCATGGAGACGGACTTGGGAGGGAAGGGCTGCTTGAGGCTGCCCCAGCCCGCAAGTGCGGGCGGGCAGTGGAAAGGGCAGAACTGCGAATCGAGGCAAGGGAGGCATCCTCGCCTGCAGGTGAAGGCACTGGCACCTCCACACCGTCCCCGTCCCCGTCCCAGGAAGTCGCCAGAAGCAAGGAGACAATTCCAAACCAAGCCACCCCGAGGAAAGCTTGGCCCCACGCCGAGAGTCAGTTAGATGCCACCGTGAGACGATTCCTCCTGCAGGGCCTGCAGGGAGCAGGGGGCGGCGGAGACCCTTCCAGAGCAGGCAGGTTCCCTGAGGAGCGCGCAGGCATGAGTGGAAGGGCAGTGTAAATACACCATGACACGGGACCGGGTGCATGGTGTGCACGGGAGGCACAGGTCAGACATGACATGGAGCAGGTTTAGGATGCAGTGTGTGCCACAGGACGCTGCCATGTTGAGACACATGCACAGGCAGGGGCCTACCAGAAGATGCTTTCAAAGTTTTTGTGGTCATTTTAAGATATGCCTCAGGATTTTCAGGGATTTCTACATCTGAAAAAGAATAATGTCATTTTCCTCACTGGAGGTGCCTATAGATTCACGCCCAAGCTAACACAGTGAAACCACTGCTGACTGGAAGGGGAAACTGCTCTCTATCTATCTATCTATTATCTATCTATCTATCTATCTATCTATCTATCTATCTATCATCTATCATCTATCGTGGTACCAGGAACTGAACTCAGAAGCTTGTGCTTGCCAGGCAAGAGCTTATTCTACTGAGCTATCTCCCTGGCCCAACATTTTTTTTAGTATCAGAAGGATCTGGTTTTGGTCCAGCCAACTCCTATCTGCAGCAGTGGTGGGCAAAGGGGAAGGACAGGAAAATAATGGCACTATGGCCCTCCTGATGCTCAAGGGAAATTCCACTGAGAAGGGAGCTGCCGCGTCCTGCGAGCGGACCGAGCCGGAAGCAAACAGCCTTCAACACCTGAATATAAATTTCCTTTTTCTTTCTCATTCCGCCTGTAACAGGAGCGCGCCAATTCTCAGGTAGGACAAGAGGTGGGTGGGACAGAACCCGGGAAGCCACACAAGTGTGGGTCAACCAAGCTGATCCCCAGTCCTTGCGAGCTAAGGTGCTGGGAAGACCACACAGGTCGATTCCGAGGGCCCTAGGGGTGGCTCTCACCTGACACTGCGCTGTAGTATGGGCCCTCCTCTTCTTCTTCATGAGAAGACGAGCCCCCCACGTCCCCCGTGTGATCCCACTCCAGCGGGATGGAGTCCACGCTGACGGGGGTCTCGCAGCCAGATCGCTCATGGCTCAGGGTTGGGGGCACAAGATGGCAGAGGGCCTGGGGAGATGTGGGCTCCTCGCTCTCTCCCCTTTTCCGCCATGCGTTGGCCTGGATCTCTCTGGGGTCTTCCATGTCTGCTTCGTTCTCAGAGGCCTCCTTCTCCTCTTCCAAGCCCTATGGGGGAGTGTTTGGTTTTTAGAATTACTCAGTTCAAAGGTAGCCACAGTTCACATAAACACTAGAGGTTTTCCTGTCTAGCACTTTCCACCTCAGTCTAAGGCATCTTTAAAAGAACTCAGGTTCCCAGGCCCTGTTTAGGGTTATTCGAGTTTAGGGAATCCAGAATGGGGCACACATACTGTGCTCTACAAGCACTGTTGCTTTTTTTCTTAGCAAAAAAGCTGAATTTTGATCATCTAAGTTACCATAACTTTATTGAGAAGCTATGGAAATGGTAAAGGTAAAAGCAAGTTCATTAAAGGTAAAAGTTCTTCCAAGAGTCAGAAACAAAACCAAGACAAAACACAAACCACCACAACAAAACAAACCACTACCCAGAAAGAACATAGAAATAAAGGAGACAACTAGTGTTCTGGACATGTGCCACAACGTAAGTACCACGCGTATGTGGCTTGCCCCTTCGTAGTCTTCAACCCTCTTGTCTAGTGTCTGGATCCTGTTAATAGTGTAATACAGTCTAAGAAAAATGATTACAGGGACTGGGGAGAAAGCTCAATGGTCTCAGTGCCTGCTTGGCAAGTGCAAGGACCTGGGTTCAATTCCTGGTACTGCATGCTGTGTAGTCCTGGCTACTGAGCTGTGTAGCGAGACCCTATGCCAAATAAAGGATTTAAAAAATTCTATGCTTTAAAAAAAAAAAAAAAAAAGAAAAATGGTTAAGAATCACTATATTAAACAGTGAGGAATTCTTGGGGAATTTTTAAGGTTTTGTCTGATGAGAAAATAACTCCATTTGTGGTTGGCCACTTGGAGACACAAAAAAAGCAGCCCGTCATGTTGCTCGGCAGTCACCATTAAGGCTCCTCACACACAAAGGCAGTGCGGTTCGGTGGGTGACGGCCCCGGCCCCGGCCCCGGCCCCATCTTGGCAGCTGCGTCGCCTTTTGTCAAAGGAAACATCTAAGCTGCCACCGAAGGCTGGTACGGCAGTTCAAAAGTGAGAAAAAAAGCCTCAAACAGGCACAAATATTAAAAGCTTCCAAACTAAAACAAGAGAAGGCAAACACCTTGCCACGTTGCTACCATTATGCATCAAAATCAGACGTTTTGAGAGGACTGACACGTTCCAGAAGCCCAGCACCGAGGAACCCACGGCACCCAGGCGGAGCAAGAACGCTGAGAAATGCCGACCGTTCATTCCACTGCGAAGTGGGAACCTTTGAAGTCACTGTAGCTGTATATTAACCGAAGTGCAAATAAAATTTGGGGATGTAGCCCTTTCCGGAGCCACTGTTCACCACCACGAGACACTGGCGGCGGGGGCCCTCACCGGCGCGCGGGCTGTGAGGCGCCGGTGGAAGCGGGAAACCCTGCCGAACACCTCCTGGCAGTAGCGGTGCAGCTCCTCCAGCTCGTCTTCGATCAGCGCTGCGTCCAGGGGCTCGCTCTTCTGAATCAGCTGCTCCCCAAACACGATGAGCTGGTCAATCTTGTTGGTGTTTAATGTGATTTCCTGCTGGAAGCCCTGTGTGGAAGGTGAGAGAGGATTTAAATTAAAAAAAAAAAAAAAATGAAGAACATCTCCCGAGCGTCCAGGCTGTAGGAAAAGGCTCCCGTGTCGTTTCGGCGCTGCTCCTTTCCTCAGTTTTGGTTTGTACCTAGCACTCCGGCTCCATCAATTTTTAACTAAGTAAGGATGGTTTAATAATTTGAAATGACTGTTAGGTCTGTTTTTTTCCTGCTTGGGGCACTGATGTTTCCCAATTTAAAAACCTCTAAAAGCCTGACAGATGGCCAGTCGTCGTCACTGGGTGTGAGGGACACTCGGAGGAAATGGAAGGTCTCCCTAACAAGGGCGAACGCCTCGGCGGGCGGGGACACACTGGTAATGCTCCCGAGCGCCACTGTATTAGGAAGGCACTTCTTCTCTAAAGCTCTCCTCAAATCTAGCCAGGGAGAGGACTGAGAGCGGCAATGTCTCACAGCGGGGGAGCAGGAGAGGTCTGTCCTCCGGCCCATGGGCCAGGTTCCCCTCTGTGCACCAGCGTGCTGCTCTCAGACACGAGCGCTGGAGAAACAACCTCGCAGGAAATTCTGTTTGGACCTTCAAGCACGTTTTCCCCTTGGGTGACTAAATGACCATGAGAAAAAAGAAAAAGGGCTGTGCTCCCAGGATGCCTTCACTGGACGTCGGTGGTGACCAGCTCGGTTGCTGGGGGCTCCTGGAATCTGCTCCTTAAGAATCAGGTGGGACTGGGACTTGGCTGCTCTCCTCCGCAGAGCTGCGTGCTTGGGGAGGAGCCGAGGACGCAGCCCTTACGTTCAGCTGGCGCATCTTGTCGTCTGCGTCGCTCTCCGAGAAGTGCTCCACGTTGGTAAGCTGCAGGTCCATCTCCGTGAGCCACACTAGAATGCTCTCCCTGGTGCCCTCGAACTCCTCCCTCTGGTTGGTGAAATGCTGGGAGGAGGAGAAAACTGCGTCTGTACTGACCGCCATGGGACAAGGGCTCAGAGACTCAGTGAGGTCACCTGTGGCCCAAAGCGTGGGGTGCGGGAGCCCGCCAGGCAAGCCCCCCACCTCTCAGAGCCTAGGCTTCCACCCCAGCAAAGTCTCCAGTAAAGGAGCCTCTGAGGTTAACCTCGCCAATGGGCAGGTCAGTCTCTGATAGACATGGCCCTCGGGGCCAAAGCAAGCTTTGGATTGGGGACAGATCAGCAGGAGATGAGAAGTTAATGCAAGGGAATGGGCTTGATCCCTGGAGACACCAGCCAATGTCCTCCTGAGGGTTACACAAAAAGCCCAGAGTCTCATCGTCCTAGGATAGTTTCAGAGCCTCCTATCCTGCCACAGAAGTGGGGACTAAAGTGGCATCCAGCAGCCCTGCCCGCGTGGGTCCTTTCAGTCTGTGCCTGGCCTCACAAAGGTCCTGCGCAGCACAAACCAAAGCCGATGTAGTTGGCATTCGGTCTCCGTGGGCCCCGCCCCCAAGCAGTCAGCCAACCATGAAAATATTTGGAAATAAAGACTCTACTGAACAGGCAGATACGCTTGTCATCACTCATTACATAAACTACACAGCCTAATAGCACTAAGTACTCTCGGGGTGAATCCAAGTATATAAGATGTGCGCCAGCATAGGTGGTATCACATACGGCAGCGCCTTACACGAAGGATTTCAGCAGCCCAGTGTATGTGTGGGAAAAGTGGACTCCCTGGGGTCCTGGGAAAAGTGGACTCCCTGGGGTCCTGGGAAAAGTGGACTCCCTGGGGTCCTGGAGCCAATCCCTGCTGTATTCACACTGAAAACCAAACCCAACCTCTGAGCCCACGGCTGAGGTGCACACCACTGGGGTGCAGATGTGGAGGTGTGCCTGGTAACACAGGACGCCCCGCGCTTGTCCTGCGGCACTATGGGGGCCTCTGTGCCAGGAGAATAGGAAGACAGGTTAGGCCTTAGGCCTCTCCCACTGCTTTGTTACATGCCGGCCACAGCATGTCCCAGGACCCCACTCTCGGAGAGTCTACCAGTGGCCCCGGTGCCGCGAGGACAGTTACCCGGAGTCGCCGCAGGACGGCCGTGACCCGCCTCTGGAGGTTGTCCCAGCGCTGGTTGCCCTCATGGACCATCTGCTTGAGCTTGCTGGCTGCGTCCGTGCGGTTCTCGCGCGCCAGTCGCCGGTACTGCTTGTTGATGAGCTCGAGCTGGGTGAGCCGCTCGTGGATCTGCCGCTGGAAGGCCTGCAGCACAAGGGCGTCAGGGCCGAGGAGGCGAGGGGCACCTGGCCCAGCCCCCAAAGGCCCACGGCTTGCGGCTAACCCTAACGTCTGGCTACAGGGCTGTGCCCACGTTCTTTGGTGCTTGCTAAAGCCCAGGCCTCCGGCTCACGGCAGAGCACCTGGCGCTGTCGGTGCCTCACAAAGCCGCCTGAGCAGCAGAAGTCACTCAGCAGCTGCTGCACGTGTGGCCCTGGGGTAGGGGGTGGGGGGCGGGTGTGTACCTCAAACCTCTTCAGCTCTTCCTTGGCACTCGTGTACAGCACCTCCGAGGAGTTGGGGCAGGCTGCAGTCCTCTCAGCGGCCTTGAGCCAGTCTTCGAAGCGGGAATAATCATCTAAAAACTTCTGCCACAGGCGCCATGTCTCCTCGATTCTGGCGGGGGGGGGGGTGTCAGTGGCTCAGCACGGCCGTCTGCTGCCGCCCTGCGCCTCTGGACTTTTTCCTGTGCCCTGACTGTGCCCATCCCTGACTGCCTTATGCTAACTCCTGGACAATAACAAAGGCCATTACTTCTCAGGCTGCTCACCTTCCTTTCTGAAAGGCTCAGACCCTCAGAGCTTCTGCTTCACAGACGTTAAACACCGGAGACAAAAGCTGGGTAGGGGGTGCCTGTAGCTCCAGCCCTCTGGGAGGTGGAGGTAGGAAGACTGAGGACACAAGCCCAGCCTAGGCACCTTAGCAAGACTCCGGGTTCAATCCCTAGTACCACCACCACCCACAACATGCAGAACAGGAGGTAGGCGAGTGGTAGGTCTGGGTCCACAGCTTGCCTAGCACGTGTGAGGCCTGCAGTTCCACTTGCAGTACTGGAAGAAAATAAAATCCGGGAGAAAGGGCTTCCTACACTGCTGCACTGCTGGGTCTGCACAAGTAAAGTGAGCAGGCAGAGATCTCGGGAGCAAGATCACCTGCCACACTTGGCTCCAGTAACTCCTTAACAAGCACTGCTCACCCTATGGGGCCTGCCTCTGCCACTCCGTGGCATGCTTCTAAGCAACCTGGGCAAACACAAGCTACTTTAGCTGATGGCCCAGGGTGCCCAGCCGCTGGGCCAGCCGGGTCCTTACTTCATGCGCCGCTCCATGGACATGGCGCAGATGTTCCTCCAGCGTCTGTCCAGGCTCCTGGTGGTCTGCTGGATCGAGTCACACTCAGTCTCGTTGGCACAGGCATCAGAGTCGTGCAGCAGAACATCACAAATGTTGAACACCGACTCCACCCCTGCACTGTGCTGTTCAATGTCTCGCTGCAGATCCTGCGGTGCAGAGTGAGAAAGCCCTTGAGATCGTGGCACAGGGAGGGCCGCAGCAAGGGCCTGCTCAGTCCTTCCTCCCTGCCCCACCTCACGCCCAGGGATACAGCTCTGGGTGCCCTGGAACCCTGGAGTCAGCAGTACAGATCATATAGTTATCTTCACAGAATGGGAAGGGTACCTACCACACAGTGACAGGTGGAACTGCTGACCCCGAGAGGCCACGCCCCAATACTTGGGATCTGATCCAAACCTCCAAACCCAACAGCCTCTGATGTAGGCCAGTTGGGGGGTGTCCTGCCATAGAAAACTAAGTATCTCCAGCGTCCCCAGTCGGCGAAGACCTGTGCATCTCTGCATGCCCCCTGCTGTGCCAGCAGCTGCACACATGTGCCCCGATGCCCAAGTACATCTGAGGGCTCCACGGATCCCAGGAGGAATCCGGGGCTTCCCATGCCATGGGGTTTAGCCAAGGCTGTGGCTAAGCAGCAGGGTCTCTGGTAATGATCAGCATGCAGTTCCCCACTCTAGAAGAAGGAATACAGTACTTAGGAAGAGATGATGTGTGCTCAGAGGAAAAAAATCAAGAATAGGCATAGCTTCCTCAGTTATCATGAGAGAGGATTTCTTCCACTATGGCATGGGTGGGCCAAGGTTGGGGGACAGATGTTTTGCTTTCTGGATAGCTTAGGCTTCCCCTGATATCCGGATTCTGTGGTAAGTCATAGGTACCACACCATTAATCCTCAGATCTAAATTACATTGTGGAGTAACAAAGTTAAATTCTATTATAACTGTTTGATAATATGCCTACTTCTGAGAAGTTATAATGCTTTAAGTAAGCAAGGCACTATTAATTATACTAAAAGTATAAATCAGTGAACACAAAGATTATTTTATAAACAGCGGCTGCCACCATCTATAGAAAAGTAGCTAAAGGTCCTTCCAGGTCACCTCAATATTGAAATAATCTGGAGACAACTGCTGAGTGACTTGATAGGCCTAATGTTTTCTTATACTTCAGATAAATGCACAACGTGTTGGATGGCTGTGAAGGAACAAATGCTAGCCTCTATACAAATCCTAACTCAGGTAGTTCCTAGCCGAGATCCTGAGCAGTAAGCACCAAGTGCTGCCCTTACAGATTCAGAAGCAATGTGTCCCCACTTGGCCATACTCAGTCCTGGGACAAGAGACAGGCAAGGGCAGCCTGCTTAAACTCTGAAGCTTAAGGAAAATGTTGGAAATGCTACAAGGAGTGGGGTTTCCTCAGTGCTTTAAGATGATTACATTTACTCCAGGTTGAAGAATATTTCCTGTTTTAGAGTTGTCATAGGATTTTTTCTGAAATTTGGGGGTATTAATACATGTTCCTTTTTAACTATTAGTGATAAATCAGGAATCCTAACTATTATTAGTGATGCTAAATGAGCAACACTGACAATTTTAATTGGAAAATGCCTATGACCTCAACTGGCTTCACCCGAGTAGGATCCAGCTGAAAAGCCACAGAGAAATTCTCATCTTTGGATAAACACATGCTGTGTATTTTACTAGATTCTTTGTGGTTATCTTTTTGTTTTTTTATCTTTTTGAGACAGAGGCTTGCTATGCAGTTCAGGCTGGCCTTGAGCTCACTTTGCAGCCCAGGCTGGTCCTGGAATCTAGTGATCCTCCTGCCTCAGCCTCCAAAGTAATGGGATTATAGGTGTATGCCACCACGCCCAGCCTTTGTGGTTATCTTACATGAATTATCCAGCTTATACTTAATAAACTAGCTAAAGAAAACTGAATAATTTACAACATAAATGGTAGTAAGAACTGATCTCTAAAATAACTTATAAAAGACCAGCTACATTTTGGTTTTTAAAAAAGAAAAGCCCGAAGATTTTCAACAATGACAAAGATCCCTGCCAAAAAACACAACAAAGAAAACCCAATCCTAAAAGCCTCTAAAAACACTGTAGAATGGACTAATTCTGTCTCACTGTGAACTAATTACTCTGTAAAATATAAAAGTGAGCTATATATTTTAAAAATAAACCATGTATGTGTTTGGCAAGTACAATTTGGGAAACTGAAATAACCCTACCCATGGAGAAAAATCTAAATGATAATTTCAAAAACCATCCAAATTCTGAGAAGTAGATTTATACTTGATTTTAGTCAAAAGGCTGAGAGGCGAGAAGTAGATTTAAGGAATAACTTGCAACAACATCTTACAGTGATAACTTTCCATTGGCTCTGCAAAGGGTTCATTCTACCCCAGAGCAGGTGACACAGACCAGAGCCCTGAGGTTGGGAAAGAGCTGGGGCGGGGGTGGGGAGGGACAGCAAGAGGAGGTGGAGAAGACCTGAAACTGGAGAAGAAAGTCCAACCAGGAAGAATGAAGATAAAAAGAAGCCAGACAAGGAGAAAGACTGCTGGAGAAAAGCTGGTGGTCGCTCTAGGCTGTCTCCATGCGAGGGCCTTAGGTGGCAAGCAGGACATGAAGGGTGACGCTGGGGTGGCCTCCAGCGTCTGGAGCAAACTGAAATGGCCTGTAGGGAGAGGCTGCTGGTACATAGGGACAGAGCGAGCAAACCCGAAGTGCCCCACACCACCATCCAGCACTCACAGGGAACCAAGAAACCAAAAAACGAACTGGGGAGAAGTGCTGCAGACTCCATGAAAGTGGTGTGTGATTTAAGAAACAGGTGGGCAGTCGCTTTCTTTGGGTTTGGAAGGAGTGACAGCACAAACTTATCTAAAAGAGCTGTAAGACAGAATCAAGGAGGACTCTTACAGGGCCTAAGCTCGCCCCACCAGGTCCCCAGGGACAGACAGAATGACTCTTATTTTCGTGGTCCTGAGCACCACGCGCAGGGCCTCGGTGCTGGGCGAGAGCTCTGCGGCTGGCCTCCACCCTCCTCAGCCCAGCAGCGTGGCGCTACCTACCTCGCAGGCTGAGGCTCTCACAGGAGGCGGTCCCAGGCGAGCGCCAAGGTCCAGGTCTTGTTTTGGGAAGCACTCAACCAAGTCATCATATTTATTACAGATGGATACATAAATAAAGCTTTGGAAGGTGGCCCAAACATAACTGTTTTGTGTGGCATTTTGCTTTCAGTTATTTTGGACGGCCTAAGTTTTCTATAATAGCACATGGTAACTAGTTCTTTTCAACAAAATACTGAAAATTTTGGCAGGACAGCTGTGGCAACACAAAGATGAGCTGGAGAGCATCCCAGGGCTGCCCAGATCCTCCTTCCACGGCCTGCATGTCAGGTAACATGGCAAAGGAGAATTACATTTGGTAATCATGTGACTTTGAAATGGGAAGATTCTCTAGGATTATCTAGGTGGGCTCAATAAAATCGTGAAGATTCTTGCAAACAGGACTTAGTGGGAACAAGAGGTAGCCGAGGAAGACTGTCTCACAGAGACACATGTTGGTATCTCTGAAGATGGAAGAAGGGGCCACAAGCCAAGAAATGCGGGGGGCCTCTCAAAGCAAGAGCAAAGAAATGGATTCTCTGCTAGAGTTTCCAGAGAGGAACACATTCATTAGAACTATAAAATTGGTGGTAATTTGTTACCACAGCAATAAAAAAAAAAAAAAAAAATCAAATGCATGTGTCTTAGTTTCTTATTGGTGGGCCACAATACCATACCACCAACAACTTAAAGAAGGAAAAAGGCTGATTTTGGTTCAGTTTGTAGAGTTGGCGGGCTCCAAGGCATGGTGGCAGGGCAGCATGGCAAGTGAAAACCAGCTCATGGCAGGGCAGGCAGGAGGCAGAGCGAGGATCGAGCGCAGAGGTGGGACAGAGACCCTTCCAGTCTCCGCCCACAGCGGCCCCCTTTCCTCTTCACTTCCCAGCATCACTCGGCTACAAACCCATCAGTGGACTAATTCAGAGATGAGCATCACATGGCCGTTTTCCAGTCACCTCGCCAAACCCCAATTATCAGCATACGAGGTTTGGGGGAGCCGTCACAATCTAAACCATAATATTCCAACCTGGCTCCCCAAACACACACGTGCATCCCTTTAGGCAAAATGCATTCAGTCTCTAAGAGATGGCAAAGCCCTAACAGGTTTAGCACTGCTGAAAAGTTCGAGCCTGAACTCATCTGAGATTGAAGGCAAACAACTCTCACCTTTGAGGTCCTATAACAATGAAAAGAAACTTAAAACATTTCCAACACATAATGGCACAGGATAAAAATTCCCATTCCCAAAGGGTGAAATAGGAGTATAGAAAGGAACGGGACCAAAACAAGACCAAAATCCAGCAGGTGAACATTCAATTCCATAGTTCCATATCCAGCATCTGAGGCAACCCGTGGCAAGACGCAACTCCAGAGGGCTTGGGCGGCCTCACCCCTAAGACACTGCTGACGGCTGCAGTCCACAGCCTCTCAGCTTTGGTCACTTCTGGTAACTTCCCTTAGATGTTCTGCTTTCCTGGGTTTTCTAACACCCTGAGGTCTGCACTGCACTGGCTCCACAGACAGCTCCATGTACCGCCCCTTCAGGGAGCACGTTCCCTGGCCTCCCAGGCCTTCTTCTGAAGTCTGGGTGAATGTGGCCCCACAACGCTTGCATCTGTGTGCACCAAAAAGCAGCACCGTGTGGACGATGCCAAGGTCTGCTGCTAGCTGGAGCAGCAGCTGAGCCCTTTCACATCGTGAGGTTGGCTGCAGAGGCCTCTGAGTGCCTAGAGGACTGAGTAGGATGAACTGTCTTCTGAGGAATCAATTCCCATTCCTCAAGCTGCCCCCATGGTGGAGCGTGGTCCCCTGGGGCTCTCTTCTTAGAGCACAGCCTTTCACCTTCGCAATTCTGAGGCTGCACACCGCAGAGTCCTGCTGGTGCTCGCGGTACACTCGGGCCGTCTCTTCTACTATCCTGTCCCTAAGTACTTGGCTTTTTCATGCTAAGCTTTTCAGGAACCAAGTTATCCTTTGCTCCATCTTTGCATAACCCAACTTTACAGGAACTTTCTTTCTGGCCAAAGTCGAAACTTTTAAAAATCATTCTGTTGGGCCATTTGCTTTTGATTCTCAAGGCGGAAGGTTAAAAAACCCCCAACAGTCATTATGCCACTGTCTCAACATGACACTGTCTTGAAATTTCTTCTACCAGATTAATTAGTCTGTTGCCCTTAATCTCAGTCTCCCACAATGTCTCTGGACTCAAGCAAAATGCAAATTTTCTGCCAAAACAAAACGCATGGTCTGGAGTCCAACTGCCAATGTAGTCCTTGTTCCTGACCGAACCCTCTTGAGCCTGGTCTTACCAACTGCATTTCTATCAGCGTTCTGGTCTTCTGAGCTCTGACCAGAATTTCCCATCAAAATCGGTTCCCAACATTCTATGACTGTATCTCTGGCTAGTATCTCCTGTCCAAACTCCTCCCACAAGCCAGTTCCAAAAGCTTCTGAATCACATGGCCAGGAACAGTCATAGCAGTGACCTTGCTTTTCAGGAACCGAAACCTGTATCACTCAGTGTTCACTCGGAGAACAGATTTAATAGAAGAAATGCATATGGACTTAAAAGGTGGGCTTACAGTGGCTGCCTGCTGCCAAAAGGACTGTCTGCAAATCGGAAATCCGAAGGATTCAGACCGAAGTCAAGGGCCTGGAGCTCACTTCCCGAGTTCTGATCAGGAAGCCAGCGGGTCTGTGCTGCAGGGCAGGAGATGGATGTCCAGAGGTGAAGGGGAAGCCGGGAGCCCCTCCAAGCAGCAGAAGCGAGCCTTCCTTGTTTCCTTTTTTATCCCACACAGGCCACAAGCCAACTGGTTGGTGCCATCATATCCAGGATCAGTCTGCCCTCTTCAATTCATCAGTCAGGACACCTAGAACTATGCTAGACTGATCGACTGGGCATTTCTTAGTGACAGTTGACACCACAGTGACTGTGACTGCCCCCTTCTCACCAGGCTTCATCTCCTAACTTCGCACTCATCGCAAACCCATCAGTGGACCAATCCAGGGAAGAGTACCACACATCCTGATCCCACACCTCCCGAAGCCCCACCTCTGCCTGTGTGAAGTTTTGGGGGGACGTCAAAATGTAAACTGTAACATCTGACTTCCTTAATGTAACAATAGTCCTGAACACTCACTCCGTAACTTTTGGTAACCAAAATGTGCAAGAATTGCATTCTGAAACAAATTAGTACGCACCTTAAAATATTTTTTAAGCAGCTAATTTTGCTTAATTTAATGAAAAGTTTTATGCTAATACCTTTTTCTTCCTTGTAAGAATCTCTCTTGGCACTGTCTTGTACTTTGACTAACTAGTTTGAAGATAACGATACACAGTGTGTTAACTATTGTGACTCTCCTATTTTATGACATTTTTCATAAAAAAAATCCTATTATGGTGATTCGAATGATGTATGACCTAAATATTTGGTGAATATTCCAACTGCTCCAGTGTGTTATAGTAAAACACAGCCATTAACCTTCACAACGCTCTCCCTCACTTTGAACTGTTTCACTGTTCTTGCCGCTTTCTGAAGCAGCTCTGAAGTCCTCTTGCAGGGTGTCTTTACCAGGTGCGACAAAACACGTGGTGTGTGCGGCTGTCAAGTGCCATCCAGTGGGAAGGCGGGCTCACAGACCTACCGCCGTGCGTCCTACCCACTCTGTTCCTCAGACCTGGTACTTCTGGCTCTTCCCCACAATCACGATGACCATGAAGGGAAAGTGTTCTGATTCGACTGAGAACATCAAAAAAGCCACAAAAGAGCAACTAAAGGCATTCTCAAAAGATTTCCAGAACTATTTCAAACAGGTACAAGAAAAACAGGATAACTGTTTTTGTCTAGGGGGATTAAGAACAATGTGCTTTTTACTGTAAAAAAAAAAATTTAAATAATAATAGTCACCATATTTTCTGATTGCATCTTGAACAAACAGGGCACCTTCAAATCTACTAGACTGAAATAATGTACCATTTTGATATGGGAACAAGGAGGGCCAAGAGAAGCTCTACGCACCTGAGGGTAGGGGGCGGGCTTTGGTACAGATGCCCCACAAGGCTCCTTCCAGCCAGGCTGGGCGTCTGGAGCTCGCCTTGCCTCTCTGCCCTGAAACACAGCTGCTCAGAGTTGCAGGCTGTCACCTTCTGGGGCCAATGAGAACAGGGAGGGAGGACCGTGTCCCTCCAGAACACACACAGGGGACCTTCTTATATTCTGGATTTCCTGAGAAAGGAGATGCAGTGGACCACCTCACCCGCTAAACTCAGGGGCATTCCACACAGCAGGGATGGGGAAACGCGCAGCTGCACAGGACTCGGGCTGATGGCACAGCGTCGGGCCCGAACCTCTCTAGCTGGTGCTGAGACGGCAGGACGGCTGCTGTTCCCAGGGGACGGGGAGGCTGGGGCGGCTTCGGGGAGCACACGCTGTGCTGCTTCCTGCCCTGGGCGCTAAGTACAGGGCCGTATTTATAAAATTCCTCAAATGACCCTTCCTCAGCCAAATTACATACTTTTGGAAATAAATTCTCTGCAATGTAATGTTTGGTCATAGTTCAGACATATAAAAAGATAACACTGTTTTCAGCCCCTACCCACGTTAGCCTCAGAGCAGAGCTATCACTAGCTTGTGCACCACTTAACCAAAAAACCCCACAACTTCCCACTTGCAGAGAAAGGTTCGCAAAGCCTCGTCTGCTAAGAGACTGTTTGAAGAAATTCTCTCGAGTGGATCAAGCTTGGCAACAACGCAGGAGCGCCCGACTCCCCCGAGCAGGGCGCTGACCGCTGCGGCCCGTCCACTGAGGCATCGCGGCCCGTGTCTCAGGATTCTTTTCTCCACAAAGCTAGGACAGAATCTAGATGACGTCTAGATGACAGCAAGTGGGCAAACCACTACTTTCAATTTGTAGCAACACTAAATCATACTAGCTTGCAAGCGCAGCCTGCGGCTTGACCTTCGAGGGGCACGCGGCCCCAGGACTGTGGACCCGAAGCTGGCACCGCCATGCCCAACTTACTACTAGTTTTTCTGACCCTCTAGCGGACCTAAAGCAATATAATCGCATGAAAATTCTCTTTGGTTAGAAAAACTGTCTTTCATTTCTGCCTTTCTAAAACTATGTCAACAAAACACAACAAAGATCAAAGTTCTTAAAAGTGACAAAATTTAAAACTCTATTTACCACCATGACTAGGATCTGCACCTTAAACATTATTTAGTGTAACAGACAAGGAGATCCATGAGTGGATCTCCTCCCACCTGTAATTCCAGCACTCTGAAAGGCTGAGGGGGGAGAATTCCAACTTCAAATGCAGCCTGCACAACTTAGAGACCCTGGCCCAAAATAAAAAAATGGGTGGGGATACAGCTCAGCGCTGAGGCCCTGGGCTCAGTTCCCAGTACTGCCAAAACGAAACAAAACCAAACAGCAACAAAGAGAGACACGGAGTCCTAGTATGCTTAAGTGCGAACAGGCGGAAGCCTAGCCGGCACGGGGCGTGCTGCGCCGCGGACTCCCCCGACACCGCTCCGCTCGCCTACCTGCTGCTCAGCAAGCCTTTTCTGGATCTCCTGGTCATCACACACTTCATAAACAACCGGCTTAGACAGCTCCGACTCGATTCTTGCCAGCCAGGTGCGAAGGTTGCTCATGTTTCCGTCTAACTGCTGGATGAAAGCAAATGTCTCCTTCAGCTTCTTCACCCTAAACACATTTGCAGGGAGGGGAAAAAAAAAGGAGGAAAACAGAACCCAGCATTTAGTGGTGAGACTCACAGGCCAGCTGGGGTAATGGGGGGTAAAAGGGAACCTACTTGGCTTTGATTTTATAGCAGGAACAATTCTTCTGTTACCAGATTCCAGGTTTCACAGAGCACATGACACTTTGCAAAGCTGATGTTCCAGGAGATTTTTCAAATGGCCTTACTCTATCTACACACACAGGACGTCCCCTGAGGCCCCCACCCATCTTCCTGGGGCTCTAGAGAAGAAGAGATGCCATTTCTCTCTAAAATAATCATGCCTGACTTCTGTCCAGTTTTTGTCTTGGGTCTGCCCAGGACTATGGCAATCAATGTTTTCCTGATAGACGAACATATTTATGATGGGGCCATAACTGGTAGGTCTCACTGCCAGGTGGCTTGGGCACCAGTGGTTCATGCCTGACTGTCCCAGCCTTGACTGTCTCACTTGTCCCACATGCTATATGTGACACCCTGTGGGACAATCATACGTGTGCCACTGGTGGTTCAAGCTAACAGGAATGTGTTCATGATGCCACACACCTGAGTCACTTGGTATTCAGCCCAGGATGTGCTTCAGAGGACCTCTGAGCAAGATCAGAACAAGTACCAAACCCAGCCATGCCAGTGCAGCACGGGACAACTCTGTCATGCAGCAACGAGGGGCAGAGGGAACCTGCGCCCCAGCGTGGCCTAAGTGCCATTTCCTGCATGAATGTCCTCGGCTCTCCCCCGGCCCAAGCTGCAGTAGCAGGGCCGAAGGTTCACACACGGCCTCAGCACAGCCCTCCGGCATGCTCACCTGCTGCCCAGGGAGGCTCCTCCGAGCCTGAAATGAGATGCCTCAGGAGCCAACTCTGTGCAGTCCTCAAGGACAGGGGCAAGGGCTCGTCTTGGAGATACAGAGCACGTCACTCCAGGAATGGCCTTCGGCCACCAGTGTCTCTGCCTTAACAACTTCCTCAGGGCCTCGCTGCTGTGCACCAGTAACCTTTGGTTTGGCAGCCAAGGCCCATCTGGGCTGGAAGGCAGGTCTGATCCAGGCCCGAAACGTCATCAACCCTTGCTTGCCCCACCCTGACAAATCAGCTCAGTCCCATGATCTCTCTGGCACCTCAAGGGTCAATGGCTTCTGGGGCTCTGACCCTTCACGCAGCACAGGGGCTGTGCTTTCATTCCAGAACTTCATCCCAGCCCCTCCCTGCACACTCCTGCAGCACCTGGGGGTCGCAGGGACCCTCTGTGACCCTTAACACTCTGTGCCTGCCTCTCCCCAGCACTGGGTCAGGATTTACATAGACCACTGCATTTCTTGCATCCTGCTTTTTGTATCTTACAATCCGACCGAGTGGATCTCGGACGCCTCCAGCTCAGGCTCCATTAGCAGGGAAACACCTTCCTCCTCAGTTTCCTTATCTCCAGGAGGCCTCGGAGCCTTCAGGGATGTGCGAGAGGCTACGGCCAGAGCTGGGCGGCGAGCAGACCAGGGCCCACGTCCTCTTTTGCATCTATGGGCTGAGTGAGTTTGTGACCTCGTGTCCTCACTATCTGTAAGATTAATCACCTTGCAGGAAGTTTGTGAATCCAAAATGAGGGTGCACACGGAGCCGCGGGCATGCAGCAAGTGCTAATCCTCCAGCTCTTCCCTGCCCACCAGGTGCTGCAGTGATGCCTGAGCTGCCAGGCTCTGGGCCTCACAAGGGCTGTATTCCCAACAGCACCCTAAAGCGAGCAGGCCAGAAAGAGCGCCTGGTGGTGAGGGCCCGGCCCAGAGGCGTGGTCCTGGGCTCCAGTACCAGCTATGTTTGATCTCACTTGTAAACGGTGTCAACAGGAGCGCTGAGAGGACTGCAGGAGATTTAGGGGACAACACTTGGCACAGGGAAACACCAGGGACTGCAGGCACAGTCAGTCCACTGCAGCAAACTGCCTACAAAGCTGCAAGTTGGTTTACTTTTCAATAGAGACAGGATGATCACTATGAATCCAAACTCCGTAGTGAGATCCTGTGCCAAATAATATATATATAACTGACTCCTGGGTCAAATCTGCACGCAGGCATAATCTAGCTTCCCACAGCTGTGGGCCACACTCTTCTCGTGCACACACTGGCGCAGGCACAAGAGCCTCCCACACAGCTGTGAAGGCTGCTCCTGCGCGGTGAGGCCTGGCCCTGAGGTCTTCCAGGCGGGGACCAGAGCTCCGCAGATGCCTTCAGCCTTCCTGCGCCACCACCCCGGAATGCCCACTGCCTTCATTCTGCACCCGCCCCTCCCCGAGTGAGAATCCCAGCTCTTGCTTGTTTTACACAGAAGCAGACTGAAATGGAAAGCTTTATCTGAAGGGAGCTAACAAGCAATGAAATAGCCTTGGTGTAGAAACACAGACACAGTGACCTTGATTTGTTAACCCTGGGGCTTAGACAGGAGAGAGGGAGAGGGAGGGAGTAAGTGAAACAGACAGAGAAAGAGAGAGAGAGAGAGACAGAGACAGACAGACAGACAGACAATCTGTTCAGCTTCCCCAGGACTGTGCTAGCCAAAACCAGGAACTTGTTAGAACAAAACACTGGGTTGAAAAAACCTGTCCCATACTCTTTTTTTACTGTAAATTTGTACTTTAGCATAACAGTAGCCAGCTGTGTGTCTCAGGAGCTATGCCTAGGGGATACAGGAAGCAATCTTTGTGTCTATCCACTTGGGACCAATAGCAAGGTGTGTGTGCATACGCAGAAGCGTCAGCCTGGGATTTATACCCACACGTATGCTCCTGCCAACAGGGTTATGTGTAACTGAGCAGCCTGGAGGTAAAATACGCCCACACCGCTCCTCTGCTATGTAAAGTGTACTTCACCATAATGGAATGTGGGTTTATTTTGATTTTTTTATGGTAGAAGTACCCAATTCAGTACAATGGCACATGAAAAACCAGACTTCCAAGTTTTGGAGGAGGTCAAAAGTGAATCTTCAGATCACTCCTGAATTGAAGATGAAGGTGACAACAACTCTGACGCTGACCACACGAGCCCAAGTTTCTGTGACTGTGAAGTGGAACACGAATCAACTGATACAGATGCAGGGAAGGCAGACCTCCTTGACATTGAGGATGAAGAAAACAGCAATGGAGTGAGTACATATGTGACTCATCAAAATGGTACAAAATGGACATGCAACCAAATGAAGTGAGCCAATGTTAAAACTAGGTCTGAAAATATAGTGAGAATTTTGGCAGGGGTGAAACCTATTGGACGGAATGCCAGCACTACCATTCAATGTTGGAAGTTGTAACTGACAAAATACTGTAGATGTTGTGAAATACACAAATGCTGTAATACTAGTAAAATGTTCTGTATGCACCAATAGCCATATTAAAAAATGTATTTATTGGGCTGGGGAGGTGGTTCAGCAGCATAAATACCTGCCTGGCAAGTAGAAGGTCCTGAGTTCAATCTCTGGTACCAAAAAAAAAAAAAAAAAAAAAAAAAAGTGTTTCTTAGAACACCTCACTAACAGAACTGAAAGCATTCATACGTCTGCTGTACTTAGCAGGGCTTTCTCATGGTTATCACAGGAATGTAAAAGACTTATGGAAAAGCAACGGGGTAGGTTTGAGTCCTGGAGAATAATGATGACACTGAGGATATTTGGTTTCCTTCAAAATTGCGTGAGGTTTGATGACAAAAATATCCACCAAGACATTAAAAAGCAAAACAAAACAAATCGAAACCTATGTGACAATCTGGCTGTTACCTGCTCGCTGTTGCAGAGATTTGTGCGTAACTGTCAAGCGATTTACACACCACCTGAATACATGGCTATTGGTGAACACCTTGCAGCCTTTCATGGTCACTGTAGCTTCAGGCAGGGCATTCCCAGAAAACCCTCAAACTGTGGCATAAAAAATTATGCCCTTGTAGTTGGCGAAGACTTACTCTGCTTTTAATCTGGAAATTTATCCTGAAACTCAGCCACCAGGTCCTTTTTTGTATAGCAAGCAACCAAATGATGATGTGAACAGATTTGTTGCTCCCATCTCCCAAACTAATCACAATGTGACATTCCGTAATGGGCTTGCCTATTTCCCCTTGAGGCTACATTTGCTAACAGAACACAAGTTGAAGAGTGTAGGAACTATAGACAGGAACACAGCAGAAATTCCAAGTAAAATACTGCAATTTCAAAGCAAAATTGTATAGTACAGTCTTTAGAGTTCAGAAAGATAACACTGGCCTTATATATGGCAAAGAAAAATGAACTGGCAGAGCGCTTGTCAATATTGCACCACGATGGAAATACTGATGAGGAAGCCTTGATAAAAGACTGAGATGGAAACTTTCTACACTAAAACCAAAGCAGAGAAGATGTTGTTGATAAAGGGCCCAGGGAGATAGCTCAGCAGAATAAGCGCTTGCCTGGCAAGTGCAAAGGCCTGAGTTCAATCCCTGGTTCTGCCAAAAAAAAAAAAAAAAAAAGAGAGAGATGTTGTTGATGAGTTCTGCAGCAATTATGATGGCACCTGAAACACAAAGTGCTGGCCAGTGGGTGTTTTACTGGAACCTAAACATGTACAGTTTGATAGTTTACAAGAAAATAACAAGTGCAAAATGTCATGGAGAAATTTTCTCAGAAGACTGGGATTGGAACTCCTCAGAGATCACATACATCAGAGGACAAACAAAATGTTTCTGCCCAGGGAACTACACTCCAAAAAAAATTGTAGAGTACATCAGTCAGCTGACAGATGAACAGGCAGGCGCAGTACCCAAAGATCTACTATGACAACAGGAAAACCAAAAAGATACCAACTTTGCTCTACAAGAAAGGACAGGAAAACAAAACATACACGCTTTCAGTGTAAGTGACCCTTGCGTATGTGTGAAAACTGCTTTGGGTGTGACAACTGAAATAATGGTTATTCCTTTTTTCTTTCTGTATCTTAGGGAACGGTCTACAGGGTGTTCAGG